AATTGTAAAAGTTCTCTTTGGTAGAAATGAAAATTCATATTTCATAGGAGAGTTAAAGTAAAAATCTCCTGTTTGGCACAGTTCACTTTATGCAGGTTAGGCTCAGAGAAAGGTTGGAATAGTCTGTTTACCTCAAAGTTGTTTGGTGGCAAGCAGGATGTAGCCATATTTCCTTCTGGTTATAGTGTTTCATATTTCACAGAAGAGTAAAAGATGGAACGCTCTTCTGGGCAGGAATTTCTTGTGTGGCAAGGTATCTCTGAGCTCTGTGATGATACAAATTGCCTCAAACAAAGGCAGAAACACGTTCTCAGGTTTTAGGTGGTAAAACTTGCTTCCTCCTTGTAAAATTATGAAGATTTCATTTCCTAAAATTACTAATTCACAGCACAGAAAAAATGGACACCATTGCATTTTGCTGTTCACCTTCTTGAAGAAGAGCGTGGATTTTCATTTCTTTCTTTCTATCTTTCATTTGTTTGTCTATTTTCTAGATACTTCAGTATTAGAAGACAAAAGAGCAATGTTGAATGGCCACTCACAGTTTCTGGGCACAGCAAACCAACCTAACGTAGGATTTTGAAAGACAAGGAATGGATCTCAGCTATTGCCTCTTCAAAAAGAACATATTATGACAGTATAAAATAAACTTAATGCAAATCACAGCTGGGGGTCAGGGGAGAGGACACAATGACAATGAACGTGTATGTCAGACAGAAAAGACTTAAAGGATGAAGCACCTCTTGGAGTGCCATGAATGATAGCAGCTGAAAGTTCTTAATAATTTTTTTAATGTTCATCCAGTATAAAACCTGCTATTATGAAAAAAAAAATCCTGTTCTTAAAAGAGATACTTTATGTTCCAAAACCAGGCATGCCAATTAAAATTATTTTTATTAGAATACTTTCTTTGATAGACTCAGGGAATTAATAGTCCTATGGAAAGAAATCATAGGGCAAAAAGGAGTTCAAAAGATCTGGCAGAGTCCAAGAAAGGCCGTATTAAAGGCAAAACAGAAAACTCTCAATACAGAGGAAAGACAGAAGTTATACTAAGGTCACAGACAGATATGATGTTTGAAGTGCTCCAAGTTTCTTTGAAATGCTCAAAATAGCAAGGGTGCAGGGGAGTGTACTGCCACAGCATGGCATGCTGTTACAGCCATTTTGAAGTGCTGGGTGGGGGTGGGGGAATGGATGGGTGTGCATCTTCACAGTGCTTTAGCGTGCCAGATTCAAGCATTCTGGGATTTGGAACACTTCAAATGCATGTGTACCCACATGGTCTCTTAAAGAGACCAGTATGGCTTTGCCAGAAGATCTTTAAACTTCTAAAAATCTAAAAGAAATCACACAAAAAAGTGGAAATAAGAACATGTCGCTAAGGATGATTATAAAAAAATAACAAAACCATGTAGGGACAAAATTGGAAAGGCTAAAAACCAAAACAAGCTACAATTAGCAAGGGACATTCTTTCTCAGTATTGCCATAATCTGAGTTGTAAGCCTTCCAGCAGATCTATAAATCAGTTGGCGGCACTGGAGCCTGAGCCTCTTCTTCTTGATGTTTCTTCCTTTTTGGTAGCTTTTAAATCTACCCCAGCAGCAGAATCTATGGAGCTACAATAATGGAGAGTTTACTGCACCCAACTTCTTCAGCTTCAATCTCTATGCCACAGTGTTTGCCAATCCGTTTTACAGAAACAGGTGGGCAGATACTTGAAGAAAAAATATGGTGACATACAGTAACCAGATTGTCAAGATGTTTTATCTATATTGATCTCATAACCTGCTCTTGACTCTAAATAATGCAGGGGATTTAGAGATTATAAAACTAAGTGGGTCATCCTATACTGAGTACATGTGCAGCTTCAAAAATACTTCTGGCCAAAAACAATCCAGTTTTGTGCCCATGTGACTCGGCACAAAATGTCATACATAAAAAAAGACTGCAAGCGCATAAAATATCTTCTTATTTTTCTAGATCTAAGTGTATATGACACAAAAGTTATATCAGGACAATACAGTTTTATTTATATAATCTATATTTTTAAATTTCACCCACCCATGCATTATGCACACTGAACAGTGTTGACTGGAATACATTTTCAGGATATGTTTAGATGACCTAACTGTTTTTCAGGTACCTGACTGAAAGTGTATCACAGATCAGCCATAGACCAATGCACCAGTCACACAGCACTACATGCTCCATGTTTGTTACATTACCTGGGCTGCAATGGACAAATTAGGGTAAAGTAGACACGTTGGGTTTGAATGATCCTGTTTTTAATTTGTGTAATGTTACTGACAGAGTTTGTTGAACATTTATTTATTATAACTAGCCCTGATGCAGTACTAAAGCAGCAAGAAACACCAACTCTGGAATTTTACAGATTCTGCTCCTTGCTCTCATTGATTTCAACTGCGCAAGATCAGGCATGATGCTCTTTAGCCAGGAAATTCAGAATATTACTATACCATTAATGATTAGTATAGCAAAAATCTGCATATGGTGACACCTCTATGAAGTAAAGATTTTATATTTTTACCATGGTTCTATAATATTTTAAAAGATACAAACCTTATTGAACCAGTTGGGGTTTTTCTTCTTTGCTGAGGCAAGTGTTGTACCAAAACCTAGCATCATTCCCGCTATAGCAACAGTGCCTAGAAAAATTCCACCTGCCAACAAAATTTAAGAAATCAACATCAGGATTTTGTTTCCTAGGAAAGAAAAAAAACATGATGTGCAAATGTGAAAAAGAAGAGAGACAGAAAGAAAGGGAGGAGGGAGGAAGAGAAATTAAGGTCTATCAGCATATTCCAGAGGCAAATGAACAGCTGTCAAAAATTCTTGACAGCATCTCAATCTGGCAAACAAGAAATAATATTTTATAAAATATCACTTTAAAAATCAGTGGCCAGTTTATAGCAGCAAATTAAACCCTGATGCGTTGCTTCATGATCCTGCATGGAAAAAGGGCACAAGGCCTGCTATCAATAGAGAACAGCTACAGGAGAATCAGATAAAAACCAGGCAGATCCCAGGCTTTTACTGCCCTTCTACAGCTACCCCCTGAACTCTGCTGCTTTGAGGCAGCTTGGATCTCTCAAGAGCAATTTTACCATAAGCTCTCACTGTACACTGCCACACCCAAAGGCATATTCAATTTTGTTTTATTGTAGCATTGATTACTTCATATTGCCAGTTGGAATTAAGCCTGTATTTGAAAAGACCAAGTCACATTCAGCAGCTGTTCTCTAGCTTTGTGCAAATATCACAGCTAAACCCACAGCTTCATCCACATAGTATCAGTGAGGCGCTTGAACTTCTGGTTGTTGCTTGAGCATTTGCAATCCCAGTTGTGCCCCTTTGTTCCCCGTCGAGCCATGCAGCAGAAACATCGGGACATAGCCTATGTTTTTAAAAGCACAGTGTGTTGAAAGCCTGATGCCTTGCACAGTGAGGCAGATCTGAGACAGATATGAAATATCTGATTTCATATTGAAATTACTATTTCAGGCTGGTTAGAAATTCTTCCTATCTAACCACTGATTCAAGGCTTGTCTTCTGGTGCTAGTCCAGTAGCTTGAGGCTGTGCCACGAGCAAGGGAAATAGCAGAAAATACAGACATACCATATCTCCTTCATTTGAAGGAAATTTTAGATGAATGTTAAAGTACTATTTAAAGCAACATCCTCCTCTTGTGATGAAGGAGTTTGTTACATGCATTTCAATGAGATACTTTAAATATCTTTTTTTGAGGGGCAGCAGGGCTGTCTCTCTGATCTCTGTTGTCAGAGCCTATGATGACCATTTCATGACAATGCATTATTTATTTCAAGTGGTTAAAGGAGCTTTTTTCCCCTCCTCCTCTAATGTCAATCGCAAACAGCCCTGAAAAGTGGGACTTAATTTTCCTCTACTGTCAACATACAGAACTCCTTTCATTTCAGGATAACCAAGCAAACATCCAGGGCCAAATTCCAACCTGCTGTTCTATGTTAACGCCTGGGTTAAGTCAGAGGGTTGGTTGGTTAAAAAATCAATTTGAACAAAGCAAAGAAACTAAACCACATGTCCAGAGATGGAGACAGAAAGGAAAAAAGCAAAAATCAGAAGTCAAGAAAAGAAAATAACCCATTTGCTAAAATCTTAAAGGCCATAAAACAACAGAAAAAATGTTTCTTTGCCTTTGGCTGTATTTTTCAATCTGGCCTGAAAACATTTCTGACCCAGTCTACCCACTAACTTTTCCATCTCCCAAAACTTTTTCGGGGTGTAATTTTTTATTTCCTTGCATAGAGCATTTGAACTACAGTTTAACCTAACATTTTTCACAGAAATCATAGAATTACGGAAAACCAGACCTGGACAAACCCTGTCTCACAGGATCCTCTCTGTCTAAAATATCCTAGACAAGTGTTTGTCTAACCTGCTCTTAAATCCCACCAAGGACAGAGATTGCACACCTTCTTTAGGTAAACTGTTCCACTACTTAACCACCTATACTGAGAAAGATCTTCCTAACAGCCAACCTAAATTATTTTTTTACAATTTCAGATAGTTCCTTCTTGTCCTGTCCCCTGTGGCCACAGAGAATAATTATTCACCAGCTTCTTTATAACCATCCTTCAGGTATTTGAAAATGTATTAAACCCCCCTTTAGTCTTCTCTGTTCCAAACTAAATAACCCTAGTTCTTCCAACATTTTATCATAAATCACGTTTACTGGACTTATAATTATTTTTGTTGTTGGGTTTGAAAGATCTGAAGTGCAGTGCTCAAAACTAGATGTAGTACTCCAGGTGAGGCCTCATCGGTGCCAAACAGAGCAGAAGAATCACCTCCCTTGACATGCAAGCAATACTCCTCTTAATATAGCCAAGTATACTATTGACTTTTTTGGCAAACAAGAGGCCACTGTTGGCTTATATTCAGCTCATGATCCACTAGAACCCCCACGTCCTTTCCTACTGTACCGCAACCTTGCCAGTTGCAATTTAAAACCAGTTGTTCCCCAGTCCCTACTTGTCTATATTGTTCCGTCTCTACATGCAGGATGTTGCATTTGCACTTACAGAACTTCATTCAATTAACTTTGGACCATTTTTCCAGTTTATCAAGGTCATTCTGAATCCTATTTTCCAAAATGCCTACAGCTCCAGCCAAGTTGATGTCATCTGCAAATCTGCTAAGTGTGCACTCAATCCCATCTTCCAATTCATTAATGAAGACATTAAACAATACAATACCCAAACAGGCTTTGGGGGGGATCTGTCACTCAATACCTGCTCCCTCTAGGCACTGAGCACAGTGACCCAGTCAGATATGTAGCCACCTTACTGTATTTTCATCCAATCTAACCTCCCAATTCTGCAAATCTATACTCACCTGAGCAGTTTTAGTGACAACCTACGGGGCCACTCATACAAATGAGGACAAATTACAAGAACACACAGGCCTGCAGAACTGAGCCTCATGTATTTTTAATTTAACACAATTGATGCTGCCTTAATGGGGAGGAGACAACAGCTCCTGCAGATGTGATGGGCCCTGCAGTCTCTCTGCTGCAGTAATTTTCCACCAAAACCACATCCCAGCAGGAAATTTCACAGTGATGCTGCTCCCACCTAAGGGTTACCGGCCACTGTTACCTCTGCCCTTCTGCTCTGGCAGAGCCTTTTGGCAAAGGAAGGGCATAGGGTTTGCTAGCACTTCAGCCATGTCACAGAAGTCACAGTCCTGACTCCTCTGTGACTGAAGGAAGGGCAGGGGACTCCCCACACAATACTGCAGCCTCAGCCCTACTGGGGGAAGAGGGCCTAGCCACACCATCCCATCCCCAATTGAGGTAAAGAGGCTCAAGGGTGACTAAGGGTGCCTGAGCTGCCTGCCTCCTGCACCTGGCCTTCTAGGTCCCCGGTGGTGAGGCAAAGGGGAGGGTGTAGTTGTGAGCACCCACTGCACCTAGAAGAAGGGGGAAGGGAGGGAAGGAGGGGGCTTCAAACTTTGGGCTACTCATGCTACAGCCACTGCTGTGGCCTGGGTCCCACCCCACTCAGGCCGTCTTCTCCCCAGGGTACTGGCAGTGGGATACTGCACAGGGTGGGAGGGAAATGGAAAGGGATGGGGATGGCATCTTTCCCTGGCCACCGCTCTCCTGGCCCCTGTAGGGAGCTCTAGCAACACCAGTACTTCCAGCATGCACAAAGGGACAAATGGATGCACAGGAGCATACGCATACACACAGGAGAGTGCACACACAGGGGCACACCAGTGTACATGAGGACACATGTACAGAAGGGGGCGCATAGCACACACAGGGCCCATAAGTGCGTGTACACACACACACACACACACGAGCACATGCACAGGAATATAGGGGCACATATGTGTACATGGGGACACACACCCAGGAACAAACAAGGGCACACAGGAATGCGCACATAAGGACACACACACACACAGGAATACACGCACATGGGGTACGCACAGGGCGCACACAGAGGAATGCACACACATGGGGTGCACACATATGGGGCACACACACATAGGAATACACACACGGGGCACAGGCACATGGGGGCCATGCTCATGCAGGCACACAGAGGCAAACAAAGGGGTGCACACATACACAGGGGCACACACACGGGCACGTGGGGCAAACATGCACACGTGTTCCTGGGGGCATATACACACACACAGGCATGCAAGCATTCCTGGGGGCTCTCACACACACATTCCTGGGGGCAAGCACACACACAGGGGCATGCACACGTGCACACGGGGACACACAGGGGGTACATACACACGAGGTTCATGCATCCACACAGGGGTACGTGTGAGGGCACATGCGCACACACACACATACAAACAGGGGCACATGCACAAAGGGGGACATGCACACATGGGAGCGTACACACACGGGGGGGCACACATGGCGGTGTACAGACACACAGGAGCACACGGGGGGGCACACACCCAGAGCCGTGGCTCGCGCGGGGGCAGACCTAGGGGCGCGGGCAGGGGCTCCCCGCACCTTGCAAGAAGAAGAGCCGGTCCCGGGCGGCTGCGGGGCCCACGGCCCCCTCGCGACCCGGGCGCTCCCCGCCGGCCTCCCCCATGCCGGCTCCGCCACCCGGAAGCACACGGCGCAGCACCC